CTTGATTTCATCATTGGATAAAGTTTTATCTGCTATAAAAATTAGACTTAGAGAGAGAAGTGGATGAGTTTTTACTAGGCTCTTGAAAATTATCATCTTCGCTATTTTTACTATAATCTCTATTCTGTTTGTATGCAAGAGATAATCAATTAGTGGTAATGCTTAAAATTTTAGTCTAGTTAATATAAAGCTAATAAAATTGATTATCTTGTTAGTTTTAGTATATTTTTTTGTTCTTTCGAGATTAGGACTTCTTGCTGTCTATTTATTTATTTGACCTGTCATCTTGAAAATATAAAATAATATAGTTATATATTTTGTTCATTTTGCTGCTTTAAAGAAAAACAAGATATTTACTGATTCTTTTTTTAATGTTATATCTAAAGCAATTTCTAATTTATCATTAACATTCTTAATTTTTATTGATTTTTTGTACAGTAATCATTTAGACTCAAATTTGGTCTGTAAAAAATAAAATACTTTTATTTTTCTTATTAATAAACTAAATTTTATTTAAATTATCAACTTGTCTTCTTTTCTATTCTCTTAATTAAATTTTTGATTGTTGTTCTTTTAACCATCTTGTCGAATGAAGAATAAAGAAAAGTAGCTTTATTTTATGCATGACTTAACAAATTTTTCTGATAAGTTTTTTTTTATAGCATCAAGAATTGATTCTAGATTATCAAAATCTATAATATCACTCTCTAATATATATTGAAGACATGCTTGTATTGACTATTCTTTATATAGTTTTGTCTTGAAAAAGAGATGATTATCTTAGAGTAATAACAAAAAAAAAAAATATTTAATGACAAGTTTAATATTTAAAAAGCTAAACTCTGAAAGGTTAAAAAAAAGTTAAACTATGCGCTTAATTGATTGATGACTACATATATTAATGTTATATTCGAGTCATCAATCACGGATTTTTAAGTGTAAAATTATTTTGGGCCCTTATTTGTAATAATTTTCAAATATCAGGCCTCTATCTGTAATTATTTTTATTTTGAGCTCTTATTTGTAATTATTTTCAAATTTGGACCCTTATTTGTAATTTTCTCTTATTATTATGTTATATTAGCCTTGGATATTATGATATTATTAACCTAACACCCAGAACCAATAGTGATTTTGTTAAGTCACTTTTAAAATCTGAATATGAAGAAATAAAATCTTTTAATCTACTGAAACTACCGAATATTAATAATAATGAAATTAAAAAACTAATCATTAGAATAGTGAAGATAATTGATAATTTTGTTATCATTATTGTTTAAAAATTTTAATTAATATTTTTTATTATAGGCACCTAATTTTCAACAAGCAGTAAATAAAAACTTTCTACTGACATGAGATAATAAAAATAAAAAATTTGCATAAGATTTTGCATATTATCTGTAAATATCATTTTAGTTAAGTCTTAGAAAAAGACCTAAATATATTAATTTTTATTCTTTTTTAGTACTAATTCTTTTGATCATGTGAATAATCTTCTCAACCCCAACATGTTAGAGATAATGTATAGAGAAGTTTTCTTGACATCTGTAGTTAGAAGTTTATTTCAAAAGAAAAGTATAAAACTGGATATTTTTTTGTATATAATAGGTTGCATTATTTTAAATTCTTAATGATTAGATAAATATTAATTTGTTATTTATTAAGTGGAGAGGTGTGTTTATATGCATCAGCAAAAGACGCAGATTTGAAAAAAAATAATGCAGAAGATCGAACTTTTGAACAAAAAATTGATATTGTTTAGACAACAAAATCTTCAAAAATTGAGTTTGCTATCTGCAAGATTAGCGAATCCCCTAACTAATACCAACATTTATATTTCTTTAATAACAAGATAAAAATTGAGAAGATGCTAAAAATAATGTTAAACAGGATAGTTAAAGTTTATAGTAGAAATAGTTCAATTTTTAGTTTATTGAAACTTTATGGATTGCGATATATGGTAAATATTTTTCAGTACAGTCAAAACTTGATACATCAAAGTTCACATTTTGAACCTTCATTATATGAAAATATTCTATTACTATAAAAAAAATTTGCAAAATTTTCACTATTTCAAAATATTTATTATATAAAAATTTGTATCTTGAGCTTTGACTATATTAATAAGTTTTTTTTTGTCTTGTTAATATTTTTAGATCATAAAGTGATCATATATGAAATGACTATACTATTTCAGAAATTATATATATTTAAAGAAGTTATACGATCACAATTACCAACCAGTCAAATCAACATAGTGCAAATATGTCAATGTGTTCTAATATTTCTTTTATTTAAAGTATACGTCATTATGTTTTAATATGTCTTTTCAATTAGACCTTGAACTAAATTTATTGTATTGTTTATAGAAAATAATTCTAAAAAGTTTAAGAGGTAGTTTATCATTAAAAGGTATAAGAATTATATAAGTATCATAGTAAAAATCAGCAAGCATTACTTATAAATTTTAATAGTAGCTAGAATTCCAAAAGTTTTTCACTAGAGGTACTATGAAAACTTTTTTTTATTAAGTAAACTTTCTTTGACCTTCTAATTAAAGTTGTAAAGAAGGTCTTTGCAGTTCTAATAATAGTAAAATTGCTAAAATTGACCTAGTATACCATGAGATATTAACGATTTATATTTCATGATCATATGAAATTTTCTTTGCTGATTACAAAGAAAATTTTATATGATTGTGAATATAAATCATTAATATCTCATGGTGTACTGGGTCAATTTTAGCAATTTTATTATCATTAGAACTGCAAAGACCTCTTCTACAACTTTAATTAGAAAATCAAAGAAAGTTTACTTAATAAAAAAAATAGTTTACATAGTATCTCTAGTGAAAAACTTTTGGAATTCCAGCTACTATTAAAATTTATAATTAATACCTGCTGATTTTTACTATGAAATTTATACTCTTTAGCTGCGAACTTTCACTTAAATGATTTACGTGAATATATTATAGAATCTGGCCTTTGTATACCATCTAAAAAGATTAAAGCTTCTCAATTTGTTACAGAAATAATATATATGCTCATATCAAAAAAGTCGAAATAGGCAAAAGAGGAGAAAAAAAAAAAGTAATTCATCTTATGTTAGAAATTGTCAGCAAAGTGTACTCTGTTTATTAGTTCTGTAGTTAGCTTATTTGTGCAACTCTGTTGTATCAATGTAGAATAAAACTATAAATATAATACATATTTGTGAATAAATTATATATCTCTGTCTTTGCTATTTGTACAAATATGTAAAGGTAGCCATCATCTAAGACTGTATTTGGAAGAAATAAAAAAAAAATCACGTATAAATTTCTAAATCCTTTGCCAAAAGCTATTGTATAGCTATAGCAAATTTATTACCAATATATACTAATAAAAATCGATTTTATTTGACATATAATAATTTTTTTTTAGCATTTATTTATAACCAGAAAAAACTTTGATTATAAATTCTGAAACTTTCAAATATATTAGAAACAATTTGTCCTAATTGTTGCATATTATTAAAGTATACAATTCTTTTTTTAAGAATAGAGTACATGTAGATTATTTGAACAACCCTAGCCCAGAAAAAATAAAGCCAGATTATTTTAACAGTTTTCCTGATACCGATTGCTAACAAAAATGAATTTTTTATTTAATAATAACTTTCTTTTAGTGAATGAATATATAAGAAAATGAAGATTAAAATAAATATTCAATATCACTAAATAGCTTTAATATGCAATTAATTTTTTTATACGAAAAAACTAAATGTATTATACACAATCTAGAACTACCCCAGGATCGCCAACAAAATTTCTATAATTTCTATGTACAGTCTTCCCTCTTTATAATTGCCTTCCATATAATCACTTTATATAAAAACCTTTTTATAATCACATCTCTATTTGAGCCCAATTACTATTTAATATATATAAAAAAAACCTCTATATAAGCACACCTCTTTATAAACACATTTTTTTAAAAAAATTACTATGGTCCCAACTGTGTGATTATAAAGAGGGATAACTGTAATTTTTATTATCACATGATGATCGATGAAAATAAGCCAATAATGAATTTGGGAAAGCCTCCAGACACCTACCATTCACGTGATTTTGTATCTACCGATTACCAGTATATGACATACCGATGAGTAGATGTATATGCAAGCATACCACAATTATAAAGAAAACTTATTGCACATACAGTATTGAACCTCTCAAACCCGAACCTGCCAAAGTTTATAGCTTGTTAAATCCGATAAAAATTAATCCACCAAGTTCACGAACCTGCCAAAATTGATAATCTGTCAAATATGATAAAAAATTAATCTACTAAGTCCACGAACCTGACAAAATTAATAACCTAAAAAATTTGATGTTTAAAAAATTTCACCATTTCATGTAACCTGAGCTTCCGGACTTAATTAATTATGCACGAAAATCACCAAATTTTGGCGAATTTTACTAATTAACCCGCTAACCGATATACTAAATTGCTCGGATCGTAATTTTGCTATAATATTAGCTTGTATTAGGCTTGTATTAACAACCCTAGCATCGCCTGGAATAAATTGTAGCCAGATTTTTTACTGGCCTATATGTGACTTCGGATACCGATTTCCGGGTTTAAATAATTAATTTAAGAAAATTGGGTTAAGTTGCCCAGTTGGTATATCGCATAAAAATATTAAGTACTAGAGTCACAACTACTAAGTACGCATATTCTTTTTTTATTTCAATATAAAAAAATCAAATAATATAAAAAGTATATATTTATTGCCCACCACGAAGATGGAACTAAATTTTTTGAAATATTGTAAGAGAATGTATATTCCCTAAATGTTTGCCAGCAAAGGTAAAATGCTAAAAAGAATTATTATTCCCAATACATCGTATTGTTGTTAAAATCCTGCTATGTTTTTGGCATTGTCCTTCGATTATCTAATGATGAGATATTGCTATTCATTTTTTCCAGTAATTTAAAATTTGGGTGAACTTTTTTTAACTACAAGTGTCTTTTTGGTTTGTTTCGCAATTCTTCCAACAACTTTTTTGTCTTAAATGTAGTTATAGATATGAAAGTCTGTAAAATAAATTAATTTATATATAAATTTTAAATAAATTACCTTGTCTAAAATTTCATGTAAATAAGCCAATTCCGATTCATATTTGTCTTGTTCTTTATCGCTACTTTCAATAATATAGTCATCTTCATGCTCAATAATTTTGTCTTGAGAGAATAAAACACTTAAAATTTGATGATTTTGAGAATTTTGAAGATTTTCCAAGTCGAATATATTCACTAATTTGTCTTCGTATGTTGAGATTAAAGGATAATAGCTATTTCGTTATATCTGCAATATAAAAAAATTATATTAATTTATAATACATATTAAACATTAAATAAATTATAACTTGCTTTTTTGAAGAACATTAAATCAACTTTTTCAACAGAATTAATTAAATGCTTGCACAAAAAAAATCGACTAAGACGATATGCAGGACATGCACATATCCATTTGGCAGGATTAGTGAAATATTTATTATTTGATTGAGTTTTTTGCTTTTCATATCGTTTCCACTCTTTCTTAAACTCTTTTCGCTATGGTACTGAATATCGATCTTGTTGAAGCAGTTGAACTCGATATAATTGTTGAGTAAGAACTTTTTTAATAAAAATGTAACAGAGATGATTGATTCTAGGTTTGTAAAATTTATATAAATGATCTCATTTAATGTAACGCCAATGTGATTCAATGATCATAGTGGTTTTAATATGACAAATATATTTATTAGATGATCGTGTCCATAAAATCCAGTTGTTTTTCGAATACCATTCTTTCCAGAGATATGTCCATAGCCGAAGTAAATCATTAGATTTGCAAAACTAAAAAATTTCACTCACACATTCTTTCCAAATTTCATTTGCATCTACAATAAAACTACCATCAGATTTTGGTAATAACATGTGTCAGCTTAAATGATCTTCTATAAGTTCAATTACTGTTTTACGCAAATTTAAGGGGCAAAATATTGTGGAAGTAGAATTATCTACAAGTCCCCAATTAAAATCTATTATGAAACATTCCTCATGCGCAATTTTGAGATTATAAGAATAGTATACGTTTATTTTATTTGATGCTAATCATTGTTTGATAGCATGTTGTATATGCCACATGCATAACTGCACACGGGCTTCAGGCCAAACTGTTTTTGCTGAATTTATTTCTGAAAAATCTTTGTCACTTAAAATAAAAGGAAAATTATTTAAATGTTGTTCCTTGAGTGCTTGCATCCAACATGTAAGGATTCTTGTTATATCCTTGTTTTTTCTAGCTGAAATTAAAAGATAACTAAGGGGAAATCCGGTACCATCAATTACACCCATAATTGCATATAATTCCCATGATAAATTATTAGTACTATAAGTTGCATCGATTTCAATTGCATCAAATTTACTATGAATTAATCGATAAAACAATGTCGTCAAAAATTCAAGAGCAGGAATAGGTAAATTAAGATGATCTACTATAATTTTCAAATTAAATTCTTCTAATAAAAGCTTTGATGACAATAAAAAATCTGAATGTTGGTAATATTGCTTTTGAGATTCTACAATCCACCAATAATAAGTTTGTTGAATAGTTATGCATTTGTATCCATTAATTTGATTTTCACGAATCTGGTGACAAATTTTAGCAGACGAACAATAAATATTATCTTGGATAAATTTTTTAATTTCTAATGATGTTTCAACATGACTAGGCCGTGAATATAATATTTTGTGAGAATATTTGATCATAATCAAATCTAATTCAGAAAATATTTCTATTTTTATAGTCCTCTCACAATTGTATCGCTCTAAAAAGGCAGGTGTATCTCTTTGCTTGTCTAGAATTAGATGCTTAGCTTGATATTTTCCAAGTTCTATTTGACAATTACAATAATATATAAGAAGCAAAGAAGTTTTTTTTTAATTTTTATCATGGTAAACCCAAGAGTATCCATCACTCTCTGAAATAGATGCAATTATGCAACGACCAATTTCAAAGTCAAGGTTTTCTTTATTTGACAATCCAGACCCATCTTTTTTCAAGATAAAGTCTTGAAATGTTAAAAATTCAATATTAAAGTTCATGCTTAACGCCTCATTTTCTTCTTCATAAAAATCGTTGGTATTATTTAAAGAAATTAAGGTGTTATATACAATTTCGGTGATATTCATATGGCTAATTATTGGTCCTTGTAATTTATTTTTCAAATAAACCATTTTAAGGTTATTTCGACATTTTGAACACTTCGTTAAAGCATCACCTTTTTCATTTAAAAATTCTTCAGAGCTTTTCGTTACGTGATATCCTATATAATTTTTATTTGGTGAATTCGATATTGTAAATTTATAAAATCAAAGCGAAGGTCTAGTCTAATAATTATCATAATCAAATCATTATCGTTATTGTTTACTACAGTATCATCATTACAAATATAATACTGGCAATCAGTATCTGAAATTACATGCAGGTCAGTAAAAAATCCGGCTACAATTTATTCCGGGCGACGCTAGGTTGTTCGGCTTGTATTAGTGCTTCGCAAGTCCGATCCGAGGTCCGAATCTGAATCGTCAGATCGAATTCCGGAAGCTCGGGTTATATGAAATGGTAAAATTTTTTGGACATTACTAACCTACTAGTTTGAAATATTTATACTACTAATTTTTTATCGGATTTGACAGGTTATCAATTTTGGCAGGTTCGTGAACTTGGTGAATTAATTTTTTATCGGATTTGACAGGTTATCAA